CAATGTTACTCTCAATAGGATTTTTTTATATATTAGACATCGAGGGCCATTGGGAAGAATACTATATTAAGTAATCTCAATGTAGTCCCTCATTAAATAAAGTTTTATTATTATTATTATTATTATTATTTTTATTATTATTATTATTATTATTATTATTAAACCTAAACAGATGGGCAATATCTTCAAATTCAGACTGTTCTTTTTGTCTTAGCCCTGAAACATTACTACACATAGTAGCTGGATGTCAGTTTTATCTCGACCGATTTACGTGGAGACACAATTCAGTCCTGAACTTTCTTGCTCATACTTTACAAACTGTTGACGGTTCTACTCTCTACGCTGATCTAAATGGATTCAAAAGCCCTTCAATACTTACTGGTAATACGTATCGCCCAGATTTGTTATTAGCGTGCTCAAATGGTTCCTTATATGTGGTTGAACTCACCACTGGTTATGAGACAAACCTCAAAAACAACGTAAAACGGAAGAAGGATAAATATAGAGAATTATTGAGACAGCTAGGTAAAAATTTTAACCAAGTTAAATTTATAAATCTCTCCATCAGCTTTTTAGGTATTTTTGCAGAAGAATGTTATACATTTTTAGACATGTTAGATAGTATTGGTCTTGACAAAAACCACCAAATGTACTGCGTTAGGAAAATGATGACTATTGCTATTAGAACTACATATTACATTTTTTGTTGCCGAAATAAGGAATGGAAAAATCCGGATTTACTAACAACTGAATTTGACTTATCTCATTGTATATATATATATATATATATTGCACGCACTTTGTTCTGTTATTTTAGTATAATTGTGATTCAAATAGCCAACCGTAAGTTACCTTTATGAGAGAGATTTACGATTGTATATGTATGTAAAGAAAAACATTTAATAAAGTGTTCATCATGTTTCCATTTGGTCGCAAACACCACTCTGACGACTGACGTTCGCGACAGTTACGACCATATGGATACCAAGCTTAAGGGAACACACGAGGTAGGCTCGTTCCAACTTTTATAAATACGTTTAATTCCCTGTCAACTAACATGGTTTGGTCATCGGGAAGTAGTTATAGTGTCCCGGACGTTGCGGCGGTTTCTCTCCCTCGTTCATTCCCATCGGTTTTGGATTCTGTTAAAAATTCGAGCGGTGGTTTGCCAACACTATGCCATTAACGGACATGATCATAGTTATTGTGTCAAGAAGGCTTACCCGTGTTTTCAATAGACGTAGCGATTCTCCTTTGTTTTTCCTTATTCTTTCTCCAAATGTTTAGGTAGAATTTTCACTTTTCAGAACTTTTAGGACAAAAATATTTCATTTTCGTTCTTTCATATTTAACTCATCTTGTGCCAACTGGGAAAACAATTTGCCGACTGGAAGACTAGAAGAAAACTATTTGCCGACTGATTGACGAGTGAAAGCGGTGACTCCCTCCCCCCCACACACACACACACACCGTCTAGCACCGCCCTTGCTTGAAGTTCCATTTCCCTCTTTTCGTCTCCCGGTGTCTTATTTCTTTGTCAAAACATTTGGGAATGCGACTATATTTCTACGTCTATTACTGCTAAAATGTCAAACTATATATATTATTAGCTAATATCTCAGCAATTGCAAATTGTCGATTTCACGATGTTAGGAGTCCTAATCCGCTATTCCGCTGTTTTGGTAATATGGACTGGATAGATTCCTTGTGTTCAGGTATGACACATCTACGGAACAACCCGTATAAAAGAACTAAAAAGTAACAATATAATTTTAAAACAACAACAACAATAACAATAACAATAACAATAACAATAACAATAACAATAACAATAACAATAACAATAACAATAACAATAACAATAACAATAACAATAACAATAACAATAACAATAACAATAAAAATAACAATAACAATAACAATAACAATAACAATAACAATAACAATAACAATAACAATAACAATAACAATAACAATAACAATAACAATAACAATAACAATAACAATAACAATAACAATAACAATAACAAATGTTTACATGTGATTGATACGTTTTACCCCGTGCCAAAAGACCCCGGAGATAAGTCCCCGGCTAGATGTAATGTCAAATATATTTAAATGAAGCTGTACCTAACTTTCACACACTGTCACAAGGACTAACTAAAATAACGAGAGATAATATTAACTTCTAAAAATACGTAATAATTATCACGACTGCAAAAACACACAATATATCTTAAGCTGTACCTTCTGGTACAATGCGTATCTCATAAACAGCTTCACAACGCTCGTCTCCATCGTTAAACTTTAGGAAATACTTGCTTCCGTCATCGCAGAATTTTGATATTTGACCTGGGTAATATCTCACTCTTCCTGGCCAATAACCAATCACTTTCTGCCCTATCTTGACCTCGTTGTCTTGTGGTATCTTGTCAAGGATGACAGCAGCTTTGTCATTCTTAGCCAGGGTGATTTTACCTCCGTCATCATAATTGATTGAGACTGTCAACGAAACGGACTTGCTGATGAAACCTCTGTAGTACAAGCCATTTGTCCAGCGGGCGAATACCCTAGCACCGACTGCAATTAGAAACGAGCAAGATAATTCAAAACAATGCACGTAGAATGCGATAATAACGATGGAGAAGGGCAGGGGCGCCGGAAGCAACGTGAAGCCGCGGGGGCAGCCATTTAAAAAAGGGCACTCCTTCTGAACCTTAGTTTTTGTGGGCGCCAATGTTCGTTAACATTTTGCCCTACGGATACTAATGATTACTTGTAGCCAATATAGTTGAACAAATTTCGGAATTGAATCGGGACATTCTTATTCGTTGCATGAAGTTAAAGGCAGAGATTGTATTGTAAAATAACTTAAAATACTCATTCATAATTCATAAATCTTGTGGCAAATCATGTCAGCCATAATATGTCACGTGGAGTGACTTTATATCTGATAAAGCATGTGGCATTATATAATTGTTCATCCTCATTAGCATGATTATATAATGGTTCATCCTAATTAGTATTCTTTTGTAGTCGTATTTTAAGCTATTTAAAACACGAGTAGGAGTGTTTTATCAGTCATAAAACGCTCGGCTGCGCCTCGCGTTTTATATCTGATAAAACACTCCTACTCGTGTTTTAAATAGTACATGACAATTTGTCAACTATTTAAAAAGGCTTTTCCAACTCTTTCAATAGCAAAAGTGGGAACTTTGGTAACGTTTCTGAGAGGAATTCCACATTCAAATTTGAGCTAAATTGCTTGAAAATAGTTTTCAATTGCAATTCATGTGAACAAGTCATGACTTTCGAAGTGTAGTCTTGTAAACCCAGGGCAACCTGCTGCCCGGCCCCGTGCTGCAAACAAACAAACAAACAAACAAACAAACAAACAAACAAACAAACAAACAAACAAACAAACAAACAAACAAACAAACAAACAAACAAACAAACAAACAAACAAACAAAAAAACAAACAAACAAACAAACAAACAAACAAACAAACAAACAAACAAACAAATAAACAAACAAACAAACAAACAAACAA